TTATATATATATATTAAATATATTAAATATATATTAAATATATAATTATGTACATACACATACATACATGTATGGAGAGAATTCATTCACTGGCATGTTTAGTAGAGAAGAAACGAAATGGCCGGTCGTATCATAATTTTCATGAAAAAAACCGAGTGAACGAATTGTGCAGCGGTAGGAATTTGTATACACAAAAACGTGAAAGAACAGAGCAAGGTGAGGTATTTCCCAGAATCCTGGCACATATGCAAGTGAAATACTTTTAACGCTTCGTGCGCGAAAAGTTCATGATATACGTATCTTAAATCTCTCTCGTAAAAGTTTAATTTTAATCCTGATCTTGGTCGTGACGTAGCAAATTGTAATTGCTAAGAAATTTTATTCGGATTACAATGTCATAATGTCTCCTCTTGGTTTAAAAAAAGCTCAAGAGGATATGAATGGAGAACAAGGTACGTTACCTCACAATTCCTTTGATTCTTTTGCGGTATTAGAAACAACTTCTTCCAAGGGATCATGAAATATCATTTATTCAGAAAACGCACAAGATTGTAGAATGAGATTGTCTTATAATGATTTTAGAATAGATTTTTTAATTAATAATAATGAATTGTAAAAATTTAAGCCGTACATTTATACGGACTGCAATTTAAAGAGCAACACACAAAACACTCTTTTATAGATTTCAGAGAAAGATATCTCTCGTTCGCCTACTGATTTAATGTTATTGCTTATCTTATAATTTTTTTTACTTTATAATTGTATAAATGATGAACATAGCATAATTTGACGATTTGAATAATATTTTATAAATATCTCTTCCATGATGTAAACTGTAGTTGCCTTCTTTTGAAATGGCGAATCTACATATTTTTTAAACGTTCGTAAGTTATACATTTATAATCGACGAAGTATTCTATAATTAACATTTATAATGTTATATTTTATTTTCCTTGAGGATAATAGATTTTTACTAAGATTTGCAAGTAGGTAATGGTTCTCGCTTTAGAATCAGAATTGAGAATTCTCAAGAGTATCATGGGGTCTTCCATAATGAACGCCACGAGAACGCTCTTCGAGCGTCGTTTTATATTAGTGACTAAGGGAATTTATTGAGACACCTGTCCCGGAGGGAAGAAATTGTTTCTATCTTTATGATAAACGCGCGTGCGGCGGTCCTATGTGATAATATATAATGTATTACACTTATACATACGTACACACGTACACGCACACACTATTCTCGCATGCGCGTGGCACTGGAGTATAATAAGATTAGCCCTTTCAGTGCCTTGTATGGCGTTAACCTGGAATTCATGATCAGTACTTATGATACTATGATATCATACACATGACGTCATTGGCGCTAAAGGGCCTCGAAAAGATGACGATATATAATACGTTAATTCATAAGCAAAATCTTAACGGCCTTGGACAAGCCAAGGATTCGGCGATACCGCGCGATAAAGTTCCGTATTCCGTAACGACAACTCCATAAGGTACAAGGATAGATGAAAGAGTCGCTAGGATCGAGCCTGAAATACTGATTATGGACCGACACTTTTAGGGTTTCCTGAACTTGATGTCTACAAATTATATACGTACATTATCGAGAGGGTGGCTGGTTTTTTAAATTCACACCGAAAACTCGGAATCGCGTTCTGGGCTCGACACGATCGGTCCAAGCGATCGATCGGTCATCGCCATTGTTGTATCAGATGTAGCAAAATGTTTCCTTAGAACTGTGATTGTTTTATCGCAAAGCTACTACGTACTTCCATAAGAGGAATATTCATTATATTTTATTAGACGAGAGTGTATTCTTTTAAAGGATATGTATTAGTATAGGATGTCTTGTATGCGGATAATGAAGAAGTAGGAGACGCAATCCTGTGTTCTCGGTGTGACATCGGTAAAACAGCGGAAGTGCCTTCCCCTTGCACTCTATACACCATTGCACACAAAGAAACACGTATACAACAAATGCCTACATTATTTAAACACGCGACGCAGGAACGAAGCATTACGATAAAGAAGAAAAAAGTGAAACTTACACAATATATAATTATATTTATATACCCTTATTAAGATAAATCTCATATATATATATATATATATATATATATA